GTGTTTTTTTTAATAAACCAAGCAAATAACGATTGACAAATGTTGAAGAAGCTCTTGACAAAAAGTTATCTCAGGGTTTGAAGTTTTAACTCTACTTTAGCGGCTGAAACAAATGTTCAGAACTGCATTAAGAATTAGAAAATTCACTGAAAGCTATGACACTTTAAAACTATTTTCTCTATTTTTTATCATAAAACACATTAAAATAATAAATATTCAGTATTAAACCTATCAATGAATATTATGGCCCGCTCTTAGCAACCTGTAAACCATGCATACCTAAAACTTTGGAAATGAAGCAGTTCAAGTGATACTGTACAGTACTATTTTTAAAAAAACAATCAGCCACTAGCTGGCAGACTAAACTCTTCCTGTTGCTTCCTTTATAGTCTATTTGCCCAAACAAAGAAGATGAACGACTTCCAGAAAATCCAGAACAAGTGGCAGAACATTACTTCAAAACTGCCCTTCAGCCACTTAATGCGCATAGTGATTATAGTTCTTCCCTGTTGAATGCCCCAATAGCAGTGCTCAAATCTAAAAGACTTGAGGTACAAAATTCAACTAAGTCTTCTTAAATCCAGATTGTTAATTAGGCCTTCTTAGCATAATAAGGTGTAGCATATCTGGGAAGAAGGGATTCATATGTTCTGGAGACGGTCTTGGTTGTATCTCCTGAGGTAATGAGGGCCAGACGGTGATGGAACAGCTTCTTATCTGCTGAGTTCCTTATGATATTTTCTTTGTTTTATCTATTTCACAAATAGTCTCAATACAAATCCTGGACTAATAAAAGCAGTGGTGGGATTCAATTTTTTTTACTAAGGGTTCTGTGGGCGTGGCTTGGTGGGTGTGGCAGGGGAAAATCCTCATTCCCTCCCCACTCCTGGGGGAAGGTTACTGCAAAATCCCATTCCCTCCCCACCCCACTAACCTGCTTTCCAGCTCCGTTCTCCTGTGCAGGGCAACAAAAGAAGACCCAGCCAATTAGATGGGACTCAGGAGGCAGAGAATAGATGGGGGCAGGGGCAGTCAGAGGTGGTATTCCGAACTACTCAAAATTTCCGCTACCGGTTCTCCGAATTACTTAAAATTTCTGCTACCAGTTCTCCAGAATTGGTCAGAACCTGCTGAATACCACCTCTGAATAAAAGGATAACAAGAGAATAGCTAGAAACGAAATTCTTGACTTAGGAGTTCTTCAGAAAAATTAAATTCATCTTCCTCAGTCTCCTGCTCCCCATTTTCTTAGACTTCAACCTCTACTTTCTGGAAAGAATGTATCCAGGGAAGCCTGCTCTATGTATTTCTGGATTTCAGTCATGAAAATAAACCATTTTTTAATGGAGAATTTTTGAAAATAAGGATAGTCCTCAACTTAAGACTGCTCACTTAGAGACCATTCAAAGTTACAAAAGACCCCTCAAAAGGATCTTACGATCATATTTCAAATATTCAATGGCTGCACACACACACAGTCATGTGATCGCATTTTGGGTACCTGGCAACCAGCTCACCTTTACAGCTGTTTGCCGCATCCTGTGGTTGCATGACTATGATTTTTAATTTTAATTTATTTATAATATATTTTATTATTTTGTTGGAAACCCAAAAAAATGAAACGAGCTAAAATTTGTATCATCAACCTTGCATCACTTATAAAATGGATCTGGAAGCATGTCAAAGTGATCCAAGGAAATACTTTGTGAAGGCATGGACTATATTTTACTGACCAGAATAGTTTTAATTCAGCAGTTGTTGATCAGTCCCTATTTTTTATCATAATTTGTACTCTTGGCCAGCACGGATTCAAGAGCTGAACTGCAGTAATTTATTCAAAACAATTGTATGAGAAGACAATTACCAAAACCATAAAATTATGTTATCATAGTCAATACAGTAGAAATGCAGCCTGAAGCAATTTCAATATTCAATCATTATTCTTACTTTCCCATTCTCATACAATATTCAACTGTTTGCCCCATAGTCCATTGTATTACTTTAGATAACCTTCAATGTGCCAGACAGCCTGTTTCTATCTGTGTAACCCATAACAACTCACAAAGCACAAAAAGTTGTTTGTATAAGGGAAGAAGGCGGAGCCTCCTCGCTGACAGACCATAGATCACGACTCTCTGCGGCTATGGTCTGTGCTCTTTCGTTGGAGAGGCCCGATCATTATGATTAGGGGCTGAAGCTGCCTTGGAGGGGCGACGGAGTAAGGGGAAGCCACAAGCCAGGTTGAGAGGAGCCGCATCTCCCCTCCTGGGCTTGGTCTTTTTCCCTCTGAAGATGACTGCAGCGGTGGTTTAAAATGGCCACCCCAAAGAGGAGGACTCAGCTGGATTAAGATTTGTGCAGGAGGGAAGAAAGAGGTGGATAACATCGGAACTGGGACAACTGGGCAATACAACTAAACAAAAGTACCCCAGGATTAAGGTAACATGGAATTTTTAAGAAAAGAAAAGTGAGCGGTGAAATTACAAAGGGACAGGGGAAAAAAAAGAAAATATTTTTGACAGCTAAGCGGGGCTTCGAACCGGGAAAGGAAGAAGCTGGAACTAAAGATTTAACTAAATTGGACTAAAATATTTTGGGAATAAACAGGCATAAAATAAAGCTGGACTTAAGATTGTCAAATAATAATAATAATAAAGTTTACAAATTGGAGACTGGACTGTGCTGGAATATTGAGGTTCAAAAAACCCTAAATAAAAAAATAGGGAGAAAAGGTGAAGACTTTGTATAATGGAGAGTGCCACCTTTTGACAAAAACTTGAGCTCAAACAAAAGGGAAAGCATCCTGTTTCTGAATGAACTTGTGTGGATATAACATTAAAGAAATATTGAAACAAAGTAAGAATCTTAGAAAGTGAAAGCACAACCAGAATAAAGAAAAAAGCAAGGAAAGACTGACTGTGGGATTGACTGATGTTTTTGGTATAGACCCTCGGCTGGAATAACTGAGAACTTCAGAAAATTGAAAGGAGAAAGAAGGAAAGTAAAAGTGTTTTTTTGTGGACTTTAACGATCATAAAATATAAGAGTGTGTAATGATGATATCTCTTCGGGAATTAAAAATGGAACTTAAAAATATGAGAGAATTACTACAGGAAAGAGGCGAATCACTTGCTCTGTGTTAGAAAAAATGGAAATGGCGATTGAAGAACAAGAAGAAAGAGCTTCAGAGGAGGAGGAGTCGATTCAAGGAGAAGACATTTTAAATAGACAATTAACACAAAGAACACTACAAAGAAGTGGGGAAAGAAGGAAGGTTAAAAAGTTGAAATTTAAGAAGGCAATCAAAAGAGGGAATACCTGTGAAGTCAGGAAAGGCAGAAAGACCCAGCAGAAAAGGGGAAAGGAAGATATTAAGAAAGAGAGGGATATAAACTGGAATGAGAAAAGATATGGGGAAAAGAGGTGGAGGAGAAGCAGTAAGAAACAGGTGCATGAAATAAAGAAATACGGAAATAGTAAAATGTTGAAAAGAAATTGTTTTTTCAGAGATAATGGTTGATGAATTAAAAAGGGGATTCTGCAGGGTGACAAGGGGTAATAAGAATATTTCTGCAATTAAAAATTTAGAAAATAGGGTAATATAGATACTGATAACTCTTATTAAAAATCAAGGGGGGGAAATATGCTGCGGAATCCAAATGAAAAGATGTAATGATTATTATTGTAACTTCTTAAAAATAATGGTTTATTGGGAATCAAGATGAGGGAATAAAGGTATATTTTAATCATTGAGATGTCACACTCAAAACAGTAAAAGGGGGGAAACCTATACTTGCTTTTTTTTAGTGTTAAAATTTGTATTAATCTAGAATTTATAAAAAGAATGTGTAATGGAAAGGGAATATGACAGACTAAAGAACCAACTAAATTAATAAGTTAATATAGACTATTAAAAGCAAGGAGAGACATTGGTAACTTTTTATATTATTATTATTAGGCAAACACATATTGTTTATCTTTATTTTTAAAATAAATATTAAAGGATTATATTTGAAATAATTGAAATGAAACAAAAAGATGTTTCGATTGAGATTAATGAAAGAGGCTAGAATTAATGTGTTTGTTTCTCTCCTTACTGAAAATTTGGAATGGAAAAGATAATAATAGAATTAAGTATGCATATATGAATGTATAATTGCTGTCATATTTGTATGTAAAGGCGATGACCCAGAAATATGTTGTCCACTAAAAAGAAATTTTTGTTTTTAATGTGAAAAACTGAATAAAATTTGTTTTAAAAAAAAGTTGTTTGTATAAGGTAAGGGATAATAATACAACTATTTCACTTAAAGTCATCTTAAACCAGTTTAATGAAATACACGTAGCAGAAATATGGCATTTATGGCAGTAACACAATTTAAGTTCTATCAAAAATATCAAATAGAAACATTTTTCATTATATATGTTGGGGACACTGTTGATACTATTCTAGTTACTAAATCTCTGAAAGAATATTATGGATTTGGAGAAGATACAGAAAAGGGCACCTCTCGTCATTATGACTGAAGCAACTCTTGCTATGAAGACAAATGGGGGCACAACTGAAGTATGTGATATTATACGGAAGGTTTAGAAGAGATTAAATCAAACAAACTTCTTCATAGAGAGTAAAGCAGTCATGTACAGTATGTTACTGTAAGATTTCCTGGGACCAAAAAGAGGGCAAGACAAATTTATTCAGAATAAGGCTATCAATATATTATCTCTAGGGATAAAGGCAGCAAGCCTCTTAATATTAATGTCTAGAAAATATGAATAGAAGGGAAGTAGCACACACATATCCTTTCTGTGGACTTTCTATTTGCACCTGGATAGGAACCAGAAAATGGATTAGGTAGGTCTTTGCTTCTTTCTATATAATATTCTCCATGTACATAAACGCTCCTTCTCTGAGAAACAGCAGGCAACTCAACATGTGATCCATTCAATAAACATATATGAAAACATTTTTAAAAGAAAAAAATCGAGCAGTTACTTACTGATGTAAAAGCAAGCAGCTCCTCTTCTGTGAGTTTATGGACAGGATTGTTTTTCTGAAAGTCTATACTGTAAAAAAAAAAGAATACATTTTATTCATGTAGCTTTCTGAAATTCCAAACATTCAGTTATATTCAGTGAAGCATTTAGGAAAGAATGTTTGTGTGTGTGTGTGCATGCGTGCGTGCGTGCTAATATTAAGCTTGCAATCCTTGCAGATGGTTAATTAGAGGCTCAAATCATATAACAAAGCTACCAAAATTAATTTATTTGTTAAGTTTTGTTCCTGCTATCTTGCCTTTCCTCCAGAAATTCAAGGTAGTATAGATAGCACTCCCATTTTTCCCATATCAGACACAAGTCACCTGGTAAAACATCCATAGAAATAGTTGTCTTGAACCTAGATTTCATTTTTCCCACATCAGACACAAGTCACTTGGTGAAACATCCATAGATGAACCTAGATTTCATTGCTCTTACCACAATAACTTGTGCACAATACTACATTGACAAAATATGTGCAAACTCTCAAAATATCATCTTTTATACATGATTGTTAAAGATCTGAATCTCCTATTTGTCTCTCCAAAAATAGGCCATTCCTTGTTCCAATCATTCTGAATTCAGAGCAGCATCTAACATAAGTGAATGATTTCACTTCCTCCCATATTTGATGGCTTCAACATCAGCTTCTTCCCTCAAACCACACACATGGACGTACCCAACATTTTTACATTATTTATCATCACATAATTTAAGAGATTTTAGAGAACTCAAAAGCTGATACACTGTGTTTGCTTGCCCAATAGAGATATTACTTTGATGTGTGTTTTTAGCCTTTTCTTAAAACCAGCCTGGGTACTTTTGCTTTTCCTCTATAACTGGGCACTGACAATGATGGGACCAAGTTTATTATCTTACCAAATGCCAAGGATTACAGCAAGTTCTTCTGCACAGAGGTCAGGCATCTGGTTCTGATGAGATTTTTCAAACTTTATTTCATTTAGTACGGTGTCATCATCTAAAGCATAATTCTGTGGGGAAATATACACAAGTAATAAATTACATCTAAAGTTGTTCATCTGTTTGGAAGTTGCAGTAATAACATAAAAAAACAGCAGCATTTGATTTTAGCTTTGCCAGGAACATAAATTCTCCTCTTGACTAAGCTACAGAAAAGGATTCGCTTGGCTAGCACAACAACAACTGTGTTGAAAATGATTTAAGCAAGAACTAGGAGAACTGACAGAACATCAGGGCTGTGGCTAAAGAATAAAAAGTTCCTTGAAGAAACAGAATAGTTTGGAAATATATTCCAGTTAGTGGTCTTCAAACTATACTCCAGAAAGCTTGAGTTTTCTTGAAAACCTATGAAGAATTTCTCTTGAGAAAGATCCTATTGCCACAAATAAACTTTATTGGAAGGTCCTTTACCACATTTTTCTTTTGTAATATATATCTGTCCCTCCTTTAAATATGTAGCAACTGTGTGCACAATAATTATTGGAAATTCAGCAGGGGATAGATACTTGGGATTTTTCTTTCCATTTGTGACCTTGATGAACAGAGTTCTTCTGAAGTAGAAATCTGTATTGAAAGGAAATCTTGACTGGGGACTTACTTGAATGGAGGTTGGTTTAAGATGCCTGATACATGTATATGATTGTTGATTTAACTGTCCATTTCACAAGAAGAGTTCTCCACTCCTCTACTCATTGCAGAATACCTTATGCCACCAGACTTGAAATTCTAGACTTAGAAAACCTACAACTACACCACCTTCAGTCCGATTAAGTATAATACATAAAATTATATATTGCAATGTCCTACCTGTCAATGAATACTTCAGCTTCAACCATAACAATACAAGAGCACACAATAGATACAAACTCAAGGTAAACCACACCAAACTTGATTGCCAGAAATACGACTTCAGCAACAGAGTGGTCAATGTCTGGAATACTCTACCTGACACTGTGGTTTCTTCCCCAAACCCCAAAAACTTTAACCTTAGACTGTCTACTATTGACCTCACCCCTTTCCTAAGAGGTCTGTAGGGGGCGTGCATAAGCGCACCAACGTGCCTACCGTCCCTGTCCTATTGTTTCTTTTATTTTTCTTATATGTATCCGTTTCATGTATTCATAATTATGTTTATACTTATACCTGTTATCTTATAATTGCTTGACAAAATAAAATAAATAAATAAAAAATAAAAAATAAAATTTTAATGGCATGTAAATCACTTAGAATTTTTGAGTGAGAGGGCATAGAAACAGATGCAAACACATTCATACTTATTTCCAGGTGCAGAGCAGACTTATCTCATAGACAATTAAGTAGTAGTTAATTAAAGGATGGGGAAAACAAAACTGTACTTGAAGGTGTACAAATAGCTCACAGAACAAATGACAACCCACACAAAGGCAGAGCCTTCTAAAATATAGTGTTTTTGTTTCATTTAAATACCTTAGTTAAATCTTCTAATGGAGTAGGTGCTGGACTAAGTTCTCGGTAAGGAAGGAGGATGTTATCTTTCCTCTGAACATCTAGTATCAGTTGGGCTACATATTTTTCCTGAAATCTTGTTCTTTTTCCTAGAGCACCTGCAAAAACCCATTAGAACAAAACAGAAATTCATCATGAGTACAAAATATATGGATTTGAGATATGCCTTTTATGTACGCAGAATTATATGGTGTTCTCCGAAGGCTTGTGATCAAAGAACTTTACTTTTTCCAACTTATTAAAGACAATAATGCATGCCTTAATTTTGAAACACTTTAAATGTTAACAGAAACTTACATTGTAAGGTAATAACTGGACTGAAAATAACTTAAAACATTTTGAATTCCAGGATGTGAGATGATGATGATGATGATGATAAAGATAGTAAATCAAATTTAAACAAATCAAAAAATGCATGAAGACAACTTACGTTTCTTTGGGTTTCAGATTAAAATTGTTCATTATGCATGGAAAGCTGGACCAGTTTTTAGATCTACATTAACTTCACTAAATAAACTCGAATAAAGCATGATAACCATTGTGGTCTAAGTAGTTCATACAGGGGTGCGGAATCCTAGGTTCAAATTTCCATTTGGCCACAAAGCTTCCTGTGTGACATTCGAGGCTCTGTCCCTTAGATTATTCTACCTCTCAGGGTTGTTATCAGTGGTGGGATTCTAATTTTTTACTACCGGTTCTGTGGGCGTGGCTTGGTGGTCGTGGTGTGGCTTGGTGGGCATGGCAGGGGAAGGATACTACAAAATCTCCATTCCCTCTCCGCCCCACTAACCTGCTTCCCAGCTCCGTTCTCCTGTGCATGGCAACAAAATAAGATCCAGGCAATCAGCTGGGACTCGGGAGGCAGAGAATAGATGGGAACAGGGACAGGCAGAGGTGGTATTTGACGGTCCTCCGAACTACTCAAAATTTCCACTACTGGTTCTCCAGAACTGGTCAGAACCTGCTGAATACCACCTCTGGTTGTTATGATGATAAAATTGAGAGGCCTTACCCCTGTGTACCACCTTAAACTCATTGAGAAATGGTAGGATTAGAACAATAACAATTAATAGATAGATAAAACATGAACTGTGTGTATAGAGGTCAGCTGCTCACATTCAACCATATGTAATGTATTATAGAATATTTAATCCAACAAATCATAGGAAAAGATAAAAGGAAGCCTACATATCATCTAGCCCAGTGGTTCTTAACCTTTTTGAAAGAATCGCCCCCTTGAGCCACTGAGGAAGTTATCATTGCCCCGCTCCCCCAACATAACCTCTCAATCACAACACAGGGAAATAATTCTTCAATTTATTCAAACACGTTTTTGTTTTCTTTAAAATTGTCATCAGGACATATCGATGCAAATAATTTATTTCCAGTCTTTTTCCCATATCGCACATGAAGATGAGGGATGCGTATTCACATATGTACGGCGTTCTGTACTGAAGCCAGCTGGAGGAACATTTTAAAACATAGTTCAATCCACTAACAGCCAGCGATCTGATGTTTTTGTACGACAGATTTACAGTGGTTCACTGTACGTAAAAAGTCTCAAAAGTGTCCCCGAAACCTCTCACTCCATCGCCCCCATATCGCCCCTGCATCGCCCCTTTTCATTCCATCGCCCCCCTGAAAAATGAAATCAACCCCCCGGGGGGGGGGGGGCATATCGCCCAGGTTAAGAACCACTGATCTAGCCAGACAAAACATTGGCTCTTAGAGCTTCTTAATCAGCAAAAGAATGGCATACACACAGAGACATAAAAAATAGTTCAGTTAATATATCATTAGTTTTATTTATTGTCATAGAATAAAGAGTCAAATCAATAATGAGGCGCTTTCAGAAGATTGGGAGCTTTGTGCTCGAAAAAAACCCTGTACGTAGCTTTTTGTGTCAGAGAAGCTCCAGTTCTGACAGAAAAGGTTCCATAAAAATAGGTAGAAATCTCTCTCTCTCTCTCTCCTCCCTCCTCCCTCCCTCCCTCCCCCTTCTGTAATAGGAGACTATTCCTGTGCCACTAAATAAATGTTTTCTCTCCATCTTCTTGCAGATATTTTGTGAGAATACTCACAATAAACTCTCGACATTCCAAATATGCCTACAGACTAAAATGGTTGAGAATCCTTACAGAGCATTTACTTCCATTTATTAAAGAGGATCTAAAGATCAAACTTATTCTAATACTACCTAAATCACTATATTTTAAAATTCAACTATTGTGATTGTTCCACAAATATCAACATCCATGATATATGATTCAATTTTACAGTTTAAACACACTGGAAACACTGCTGGGAATAATGGCAGATCTATCTTATTTAGCTTCAGGCTCAGCAAATAAGCTACTATAAATATCAACAAATCACCAGTAGATATATTGGAAGAAGAAAATATTTCATGGGGATATCAGAAATAACCATAATAAATGCAACACAAGAGAGTAGAGTCTATGCAAAATTATCTGCTTTTCCCACAATAAACAAAAGAAGATAGATTTCATGTGATCGTCTACAGATGTGTTACATTAAAAACTACTTATTTCTATAATACATTAGCTCTTTTATACTGGAGCCAATCACATCTCAAAATTCCTCCAGATGTAATTTCATACTCAAGGTAAGTTGGAAAAGGTGCCAGAAAATAACAACTTCTCCACATGTCTATGCAAGTTTGAGAATTCCAGGCATATTGCTAAAGCAACTTTGCTATTTTGTTGGTAGTGACTGGGTGAAAAAACTATTTTCACAGAATCATTAAACTGGAAGGAGCCTCAGAGATCAAGTCCAATTTCTAATGTAAAATCAGCTAAATCATTTCAAATATGACTTTCTACCCCTCTTTAAAAACCTCCATTAAAGGGAGGCAACTTCTTCCACTATAAAAGCTATAGATGCAATTTACATAGACTTCTTCAAAGCCTTTGATTCAGTGGTACATGACAAACTACTGTTAAAACTAAACTCTTACGGCATTTCCGGATCCCTTTGTAAGTGGATTACTGCGTTTCTGTCAAACAGGCAACAAATCGTAAAAATAGGGAGCGCTATATAAAATCCTGCTCCAGTTAACAATGGTGTCCCCCAAGGCAGCGTTCTAGGATCCACTCTTTATACTCTATATAAATGACCTTTGCAATCACCTTATAAGCAACTGCATCCTCTTTGCAGATGACATAAAACTATTCAACACCACTGACAATGCTACTGTCCTTCAAAGCGACCTTGATTATGTGTGTGAATGGTCAAAAAATTGGCAACTCCAAATCTCGACCAACAAATGTTCTGTCCTACACATTGGTAATAAAAATCAGTATACCAAACACAAGCTAGGCGGATATGACCTCGTTGATGATCCTCCCTCTGTCAAGTTCTCATACCAAATGACCTAAGCACCAGAGCTGGCTGGAAGAAATGACAAGAGAACAGATCGAATTCAAACCAGAGTCCTTTCTGTTAGGGATCTTTGAAAAACAAATATCAAAAAAAGTGAAATATATAATAATACACATTTTGACAGCGGCCAGATTGGCTTTTGCACAATGTTGGAAGCAGCCTCATGTTCCATTAGAGGAGATGATTATTCAAAAAATTTCAAGTTGTGCAGAAATGGACAAATTAACTTTGGCATTAAAAAATAAAGACACTTCAATATACTACAACAGCTGGAACTGCTGGTACAAATGGATAAACCAAAGATAGACTTCACACTAAAAGACAAAAGAGGATAGGATAGATCCATAATAATGATACACATATATATGTAAGGATTAGGTGTGTGTATATGGCATAAAATAAGGATAAAAAAGAGGTCTTACAAACTGTTGAAGATGAGAATGTTTTTAATTGTTTTCTATTTTTTTCTTTCTATTTTCTTCTTCCTTTCTTCTCTCTCTCTCTTTCATTTATGTATGTGTTGTTGGTTTGTTTTAATTGTAAAATCAATAAAAAAAATTTTTTTTAAAAAAAAGAGTTGTAAATCTAATCTTATGAAGCTTCTCCTCCAGAAATATCGAATTGCTAACTAGAGCATACAAAACTTTTGCCAGACCAATACTCAAATACTGGATCATCAGTCTGAAATCTGCACTGCATATCGGACATATTAATGCATATTAATACAATCAAGTGAGTCCAGAAGTATTTCACGAGAAGACACTCCTCTGCTTGCAACAGAATACCCTATTATCACCAGGCTTGAGATTTTGGGCTTGGACAACCTTGAACTAAGCCGCTTATGGTTAGACTTAAGCATAGCACACAAAATTATCTGCTACAATGTCCTACCAGTCAATGACGACTTCAGCTTCAACCACAGCAATATAAGAAAACACAACAGACACAAACTCAATGTAAACCGCTTCAAATGTGATTTGCAGAAAATACAACTTTAGCAACAGAGTGGTCAATGCCTGGAATTCACTACCTGATTCTGTTGTTACATCCTCTAACCACCACCCCTTTAACCTCAAACTAACCACTATTGACCTCACCCCATTCCTAAGAGGTCTGTAAGGGATATGCATAAGTGCACCATCGTGCCTATCGTCCCTGTCCTATTGTCCCCATTTATTCATACCTATTTCCTGTATTCTTACTCATGTTTATACTTATACCTATTATCTTGTAAGTGATTGACAAATCAAATAAATAAAATAAAATAAAAAATAAATATCCAACCTAAATCCATCCAGCTTTAATCCATTTGTTCTGATTGTGGCAGAGAACAACTCCAGCTCCTCCACTATTGTTTCAATATCTCAAAACCACTGTCACATCTCCCCTTAATCTTCTTTTCTGCAGGCTAAACACACCCATCTTCTTTGTTTTCAGCCCCCTCACCAACTTAATAATCCTCCTCTAAATGTACTCTAGTTTGTCAAATATTCTTTTTAGATTGTAGTATCCAGAACTGAACTATTCAAAATGGGCCATGAACAAGACAAAGTACAATGGGACAATTATTTTCCTGTCGCCTGGGCGCTATGTTAACACATTGTAATCTACTAGAATGTGATTACTTATGAACAGCTAAAGCTATTCTTCTTCCAGGTAGCTTTAAAATAGAACTCTGTTAGAAGAGAATGGAATTCATTTAGGTGGAGTAATAAACCATGAATCCTCTATTCTCTGCCAAATTAAGGTCAATTGACAACACAAGGATAGCCCTGCCAAGAAAGCCTGGTGGGACAGGCTGTATGCAATGCAGGAGGTGAATCAGGTACAAACTGGAACCAATGACAAATCTTCTATAGATGAGATTGTGGAGAGCTCTTCAAACGAGGATTCAAGTCTCAGAACTTGCATAGGTAAGGGGAAAACACTTATTTGTTCCCCTGAGACTTAATTCACACCTCTAGCCTTCCAACTCTATCTTCTAGTTAATGGGATGTATTGGTAGCATGTTGTCACAGTTTCTCTTGTGCATGCTAACTCTTTCCATTCTCCTATCTTTCTTCCCTGTGGCTGCACCCTGTGGCTACATATTCTTTCTCTTTCCTGTAAAAGAAACTTTTTGGCTATTATCCTTAATGCTGTTTTCCTTCAGGCAGTTCTAAAGTGCAGAATGGCTGTCAATGGCCAAATGCAATGCACACAATTATGTATCCACACTTTTCAAAACTCTCACACCAGAACATACAACATTATCAGCATCATGTGAAGCAATTTGGGTGTGACACAGGAGGGCAGAATCTTGCTGTGTTCAATTTGGTCTCTAAGATTTAATTTGGTTTTCAAGGGTTTTTGAGGCTACAGACTGCAGGTAAGTGTCTGGAATATTATTCAAAAGGTGTTTTTCACAATAGCATTCCTCTTCTCCAGGTCTACTAGAAATATGCAATGCACGTTATATTGCTCTTATGACAGAGTATTTGTCCTGCATGTCAGTGAAGATAAATGGCATAAACTGGGTTATGGGGGACTTCATTAAACTTATTAACCTTTGGAAAAATACCAAGAAAGAACAGATTATGTATAGATATGTTTTATTATGGTGCTGGAATTTTCATAATATATACTGAGTTCAAGCAAAGAGAGTGGGGAAAAATAGAAAATCTGCAATTTTGAAGTCACAATAACATATATAAAATTATGTGCGTTACATTCCAAACAAAGGGTTGGATAGTTCGCTTCTATTAATGAAAGAAGCCCGGATTCAGCAAAAGCTTCTATAAGTGTAAGGTGGATTTTCTGCTTTCTCTGCCTTCCATTCTATTACACAGCATGATTAAACAGGTGGTACGGAGATCTAAAAACACTTTTCCTGAATGAGATTATATTCAGTCTCTCTTAAGTGAATCTGTTCAGCTTTAAGGTTCTGCAAACATCTGAGACAGAGATTCAAGGGAAGACTTTCCTTGCCAAGAGGTCAGCTAGCTGTGTCTTTTAACAACCTTGCCCTCAACAACATTTAAACACATTTAAATTAGATCATGAGCCAAGAAACTATATGCAAATTGATTGCTATAAATTGTTTTTATTAATTTTTGCAACACTTATGTCTATTTTGATTTTATTATATTTGCCTTTTATTAATGTTTTATTGGTGTATTGGTCCATCTTTTGGTGAAGGATAGATGCAAATTTAGCAAATCAATACAGGAGGGATGGAGAAATGCCATTTCCTATTACAGAATTCACATAGCCACAAAATTTATTCCAAAGTGTTTCCAAGACACATTTGAGAGAGCATACGGGGGAAGATAGCAATAGAAAATCCTCCTGCATTTATAAAAGACTTCAGACTTCCACAGATTTTCAGAATTTTACTGCAATTTTAGTAAACTGTTGAAACTAATCTAGAATTTTAATGAAGAGAATTTCTCAGAGCCACACCAAAAGTATTATAGAGACTGTTGCCCTCTTCAGTGTTTTGCCATTTTCTTTCTTTTTTAAATTGTCAAGTGATGCAGCACAGTTAGGGTTAAAGATTAATATTCAAGAACTTGGAAAAGAACATACCTGTCAACTCAATCTGTAACTTAGTTATGTCTTTAGCTGCAAGGAAATGTTCTTTCGCATTTTTATACTCGTAATAATTCAAAAATGTGTAAGCACATTCGAGATGAAATTGAACAGCAAGATGCCAACATTCATCATCGTTGAATAAAGTCTCAATTTCAGAAACTGGAAAAAAGGAAAAGAAAAATTAAGAAACAGAATGTGAAGAAAAAATAACAGAAAGCAGAAAAATACATACCAGATTTACTACTCCCTAGGCAAATAAACTAAGTTTAAATTGAAAGCGGACCTGTTTCATCTGCATTTTCATACACCAACGTTTTAACTACAAACTTCCCAGTTTGGCAACCTCCAAAACTCTTGTGAAAGATGATACATAAATATCCAAGAGCCTCCCCCACCCCCGGGGACACGGACACGGACACACACACACACTTCATTTTCTGTTTTAACTTTTGATGGTCAGCATTTATAAGACTATAAAGCTGTGATGGTGAACCTATGGCACGCGTGCCGGAAGTGGCACGCAAAGCCATTTCTGCCAGCACGCAAGCCGTCGCCTGGAACTGATCCACTGCGAATGCGCGTGTGCCTCCTGCCAGCCAGCTGATTGTTGGGTATCTGCTGCACAAGCACGGGGGAGCCGGGGCGCAGTGGGGCTTGCGCGTGCTTGTACAGAGGCGCGTGGTGCATGCGGGGGGTCGTGCATGCATGCACAGAGGCATGCAGTATGCACAGGGGAGGGTCACGCGTGCATGCGGGGGGGGGCGGGGATGTCACACACTCATTGCATTATTGGCGCAGGCACACGCGCCCACAGGCATGCACACACTTTCTGCACACGACGACGAAAAGGTTAGCCAGCACTGCTATAAAGTTTGAAATCGCTTTAGGACCTGCTAAGGCCTAGTTTGCATACCGTCTTATTCAAATCCATACTCCATTTTTCTGTATAACTTTAAATATTTGAGTAGATGACACTTAACACTTAGCTATATTTCTATCTGTCTCCTTCCAATACATATACGTGTGTGTGTGTGTGTGTGTGTGTGTGTATATATATATATATATATGTTTTCTGAGGTTCTCGCGGGTATTTGTATGTGGATCTTTGGTTATTCGGGTTTTCTCCCGCGTAAGATTCAAAGTATCTAGGCAACGTTTCGGCGAGGTCCCACTCGCCATCTTCAGGCTGGTGCTTTCGGCTTAGTGCCAGTGCAAGCAGTGTGTGACCGGAGCTGCCATCTCTCTATATATACAAGTGGTGGGGGATGGTGTGCTGGGCTGGTTGGCTGTGCTGCAGCCTCTTGATTGGTTGATGGAGTTGATGTTGGTATAATGGGCTGTGTAATGGCCTTTTGTTGTAGAGATATCCTGGATCTTGTGCTGTCATCTCCTGGGTCGTTAGCCTCTTGTGTTTTAACGGCTTGGGTAATGGGTTGTGTGATGGGCTTGTGAGTTCTTTTGTTGTGGTATCCTGGGTCTTGCGTTGTAATCTCCTGGGTCGTTTGTGTTTTGATCTCTTTTCCATTAGCCTCCTGTGTAGTAACAGCTTGGGTAATGGGTTGTGTGATGACCTTGTGAGATTTATTGCTGTGGTATCCTTGGTCTTGTGCTGTGATATCCTGGGTCATTTGCTGTGTTGTGACTTCTTGAGTTCTTGAGGTGTAATTTCTTGAGTTTTCTGATGTGATGTCCTGAGCGGGTGGCTGTGATGTAGCATTTTGGGTTTTTAATATGGCTTTGAGTTTGGGGTCTGGGTCTGTGTTCGTTTGGCTTCGAGTTCGTGGTCGTGCCACATCTTCATGGTGGGGGTCAGTTCGCTTCATGTATGGTTCAGAGGAGTTTGAAGTGGGTAGTGATGCAGCTGCAGTGCGGCTTCTGGTCTGTGGTCGTGTCTCATCTTCTGTGTGGGTGTGAGTCTGATTTTTACGTGGAAGTGTGGTGGTGGCATCTTGTGTGGCCCTCATGGGTGTGGGTCTGGTGTCATTTATCATGTTGGGTACTCGTCTGTTCATGAGGGCGGGTTTCCAAATGGCTGGTAAGCGGGAGGTGTCATCTCTTTTATTCATGCTGTGTGGGCGTTTTTCTATCTCTATGGCTTCTCTGATTATTCTGCTGCTGTGGTGTTCAGTTTTGGCGATAGTTCTGGTATTTTTAAGGTCAATCTCATGTCCTGTGGCTTTGAGGTGTTGGACCAGGGAAGAGGTTGGTTCTTCTTTTTTGATTGAGTTCTTATGTTCTTCAACGCGTGCACTTATTCTTCTGTTAGTTTGTCCAATGTATGTGGTGAGGCAGGCAGTGCAGGGGATTTCATATACTCCTTGGTTTTCTAACTCGATTTTGTCTTTAGGGTTTCTTAGGATGGTGGATATTTTTCTGTTTGTGCAGAATGCTGTTTTAATGTTGTGTTTTTGGAGGATCTTGCTGATTTTGTCTGTAGTGCCTTTTATATATGGGAGGAGGGCTTTGCCGTTCTCTTGTTCTCTGTCTTGGATTTTGGTTGGGGTTTCTTTTTGGATTAGGTGGGTAATCTTCTTTCTTTGGAATCCATTGGCTGTTAGTACGTTGGTGAGAGTGT